GAGGCTGCAAGACGAGCGTTTCGTACGAGACTTCCTCCAAAAGTCACGCGTCAAGTCTCAAAAACGAGCGTTTCGCACGAGACTTCCTCCAAAAGTCACACGTCAAGTCTCCAAAACGAGCGTTTCGTACGAGACTTCCTCCAAAAGTCCAGCGGAAACACCCATCGGAGCACACACATCACGCAGCCCTGCCTAGCAATTTCGCGATTCCAGCCCCTCCAAACGACACCCGCTCACACGCCAATCCCAATGTGACAGCGACATTCACCTCTACCATAACTCACGACCTCGCGATTCCCTGCGCCTGCCACGAATCTTTCCGCATCCACACGTCTAACGCGCACAAAGTACTGCGCCTGCCACGAAATGTCACCTCCGTCACACCTCCGTCACACCTCACAACCTCACGATTTCCTGCGCCTGCCACGAAAATCGCACTTCCACACCTCAAAATCAGCACAAAGTACTGTGCCTGCCACGAAAAGTGAGAATATCATCTCACATGAGCTTCAACAAAATTTGCACCACACCACACGTTTAGAATGATTTCGACCCGTTCTGAGCACACTCCCATCCACCAAAATCGCCATTTCAGCTGAGACTTGTCACGAAAACAGAGCTTCGAGGCCACACCCTGAAATGCAAATCCCAATGGCACGGCCACATCCAACACCCCAAAAACACGACTCTCCAAACGCTAATCCCAATGGAACTGCGCAGTAAACTGCGGATCTCTCAAACCACTGCGCCTGTGCAGCGAAATGCATCACGTTTCTTGCGCGACATGTCATTTTCATGCAAATCACAATGGAATAGCGTCGCAAACTGACACGTGACACATCCATGAAAAGTCACTTGCAAAAGCTTCCCCCAATGGCAGCGCCTTAGCGTCCTACTGCGAACGGTTGCGAACGGTTGCGAACGGTTGCGAACGGTTGCGGACGGTTGCGGACGGTTGCGAACATAGAAACAACGGATCGCGAACAAGACTCTACCCCCAGACCCCCAGAGTTAAACGAGAACCCTTCGCTACGCATTCGGGAAAACTCAGGACCAGGTCAACAAGGCCTATGTCATGAGTGTGTGCCAATGAAATTGCCCTGTATAACATTTGTACATGACTTAGGACTTGCCCTGGGAAAGTTGTATGTCATTTCGACCCAATTGGCCTAAGTCATCTCACCCTAGTATATATGTATAACCTGAGACGGGCGAAAGCCTGCCTCCGTAAGAAGATATGAATTATTTGGTTATGGGGTGAGTTCGATAGCGCACTGGAACTGTTGTCAGGCATGAGGAAACACAGTAGAAGGCAGAGGCGGAAAGTCTCGCATTGAGGGCCGATATGACAGGCTCTTTATACACAAGGTTTCGATCAAGGCCCCTTAGCGGTTATAGGATAGAAGTGGAGCCCATGCGTTAGGAATAAAAGTTGAGTTGAGCAGGGCATTTACAGTCGGGGGGTGAAAGGTTGACTTGAGAATGACATTCACAGGTGGGGGGTGGGGTGCCCTCTTCCTTTTGGTTCAAGGGCGTCTTCAAGCTGAAAAAGGGCACCTCTAAGTAACTGACGGGCGCTTGCCTGTTGTTTGTTTCTCTCGTCTTGTAGATGGACTCATAAACTCGGCGTGCTGCCAAGAGTGGATCGATGAAAGTGGCTATCAGCTGGCTCTCGTAATTATATATCATATCTTTTATATTTTCTACATTGCTTCTTTCTCTTCGACCCTTTCTTCAGCCTATGAGATGTCAGTCAAACAGTCACTTTCACTGAGAGACGCACTTGTCACGTTCCTTGTCCCGACCTCTTTTCCCCCTTTCCTGTCCTCCACATGAACTCCCACCCCTTATCCAAAGCCCAACTCCCTGGGATAGCTCTGAGGGGTGCCCTTTTGCATCCAGTTAACAGCCCTCTTCACCATTAATAGGAGGGGAATAGCGACATGTTGCGCAAGTTTTGCCTTGAGACACTTGTCCGATGTTCTTGGAGGCCAGCTAAGCTCTCAGCGTTCTTGTCAGGGCAGTCAATGCCGAAAGTGTTGCCTGGCATCTCACAACATGTGTCCTTTGGAAGTGCTGCACGGTGCCGCGGCCGCACCGCCGCTTGCAGACCTGTGACCTGGAAGATTTGTCAGCATATATAGTTCATGATAGTTCGAGCTATACCTTCAGGATTTCCCGCAATGATGCCAAGGGCATGCACCACTCAGAGCTGCACTGACCAAGTCGGAAGTTCCCTGTCCCTAGACTTTAAGGTACATGTTTCAGGTGGGCAAACCTTGAAATTGTAAGCTAACTGCTGTGACAGCATCTAAAGTGCCAGCAAGTGCACAGCATGTGACCATTTCTCAAGCGGGAAAAGCCAGTCGGGTCGCTGTCTTCAAACACTGCTCAATTTCCAAGACCCAATTAGTGCAGCTTGCTGACATACGGAGAGAGCTCTGTCTTCAGAGCTCCTCCTCTTCTTTGTTTGCAGGTGGATGTCGCAAATGTAAACTCAGTAGGAGAGATAGCGCTCAGTTGGACTGGGAGAATGAAGAGACCTCCGCCGCTTTTGCATCACTGTATCCTCCAAGTTGTGGCTGCAGCACGTGACCTTTGGGGTCTGCGCTTCGTGTTTGGAAGGATCCAAGTGCCTTTGGAAACGTTAGCTCTTGAGCAAAGGGACTGATGAACTATCCCCAATTTTGATTGGCAGGGCTAAGGAAAATAAGGTCAAGAAAAGTCAAGAACCAGAGTTATCAACTGTTGTTTGTGGGGAAGACAAACTGACTGCACCGAGGCACTACAAAAGTGAAAGCACTCCTCAGTCGTCTGTATTTCCCTGCCATTTCCGCAATAGTTTCGACATCCTGGCAGCTTTGCAGGCTTATACATTATATAAGCATATACAAAAGCATACACATTTCTCTACAGTTAAAGTGCAGAATCGAGTGAACAAAGAAAGAACCACTTGTGCAAAGAAACAACACTATCTGCATGCTTTCGAGCTACGCAGGAATTCTGGATTTCTGCAGTGGTATCCTCGGAGTATGCATGTAAAGGCATTCTGCTTCACAGCCATGCCCTCTAAGCCACACACTCAATACGTGCTCCATTTTCCCAAAGAAGTCGCATGAAGCTTTCTAACCTGGAAGCAAAATAGCAAGACAGTTTCACCATGCAGTGAGCAGAATGAGTGTGCTCTGTTTTTGTGTGCCAAGTCTTCTATGCCGCTCAACTGAGCTTGGAACTGGCGGTTGCAAGCTTTCAGCAAGGCCGTTTCCCCCTGGGGAGGGCCATAGTCCAAACCGGTTGGCAAAAGCATTTCCCGCACAAAGGCGAACTCAGACCAACACCCTTTGATCTTCAGCATTAGGGTCAGCTCGACCTCACTGAAAGCACACACAAATTGAAGGTCCTCCTGTCTCTGCATGTGTTCCCGTTGCAGTTTGTGTAGTTCCCAAAGATGCCCAAAGCAATCGCAGGTCTAAGCACCCCACATTGCAACAACCACCTGACAGCGAGGCCACGGAGTAAAGAATCTCAGCACGCACTCCTCAAATGCAATGGGTGTTTGTCTATTTGTGTGTGTGTGACCTTTGGAATCATGAGAAGCCCTTGTTTCTGTTGATTTTAAAAATGCAGGGGGTGGCAGCAGGAACGAGAGTCTGCCAAGGACGAAGTCACTCTCAAATTCCTGATGATACTTGGACTGATCATCCCAGGATACCTGCGTTATGACAGGAGAATGTCCTCCTTGGTCCCTGCTTCTCATTACGTAGAACAAGACCGTTTCCTTGCACCGGTTAGGTTTGCAGTAAAGTGCTAGTGAGCTCAGCACACTTGCATTTGTCGAGCGACTTTGCGATACTTTGAAACTTTGGATTAGACTTGGAACTTCAAGCACTTTGGAACTTGGAACTTGGAGCCTTTGGTACTAGCTTGGCTCTTTTGGATGGTTGGACCTCCTTGCATATACAGTAGAGACATGTACTTGTACCTGAACTCTTAGGTTTTCTGGTTACCTTGGTCTCTGCGAGTAGCACACCGCATTGCGTACAAACTCTTATCTCGAGTGTGAGATCTAGGCTTTCCCGCCTGTCTTTCGTGGGAATTCCTGACCCGACTTCGCACGAGCCAGCAATTGTGCGGCTAAAAATCTGGATGTAACTGCTTCGCTGCAAATGTTCAAAGGCTTGGCACGTCGCTTGTGCTTAGACGATTGCAGCTGAGGAGATATTCAGAGCTCACTTTCAGTGCTCAATTTGTCAATCAACTTCGACAGCCCGATTGTGGGGGCTTTGATGTCGGTTCGCCATTGCTGCTTTGATGTTCGCTCGACGATTCGACACAACCTGCTGCGCGAGGGGTTACACGGGAAGATGTTTTTGTAAGCGTGCGGTTTCACATCACATTGCTTTCTCTTTCTGACCCTTTCTCCACTGTCGGTCTGTCTCTGAGTCGATGACCAGGCAACGTCATCCAAGCCACTCTCGGCAGCATACATCAGCACGGTTCTTCCAGCAAGGCCTTTAGCCTCGACGGCTAAACCGCTGGAACAGCAAAGCTCAATTGCAGAGCAAATCAAAGGCCTCACCTCCAAGTTTGCCCCATGTCGAGCCAAGTGAATCAAAGTGTCCCACCTTGCATGAATCATGAATCGGTTCCTTTGGGTTTGACAGCGGCAACCGCTTAGTCGCCCTAGTCAAGTCATTCTTCCAAATCAATGTAGACCAGTGGCGGCTCCTTTGGGGATTTTTTTGAACTTGTCTAGCATGTGCAGGTGCTTAAGTGTCATACGAAAGATACCATGGAAATCTAGCTGAGTTTGGCTCTCCTATGTAGCTGATAGCTGAGCTGCTGTGACGTCTCAGCCAGGCGGACAATGACTGGCTTGGCATCTGGTGATTCGATTGCCTCAAGATCGCCCACGGCTAAGACAAACAACTAGTGCCGCACCGGCTTTGAGAAAGCAAGCTGCATCTAAATCCGCCCGTGCTTCCGCAAGTCTGCGCCTCAGAGCCAACAACACACTTGCAGCTGCATTGAATATCCAAAACTAGGATCTGACACAACCATCCAGCTCTGCTGGCGTGCAGCTGCAAGCAAGGCTGTCTGGCCTTTGCTGCGTGCTTCCAACCTGACTCCAGGCAATCCTAACCGAAGTTGTGCGTTTTTATTCACAGTTGCTGAGATTGATACTTTGCTCTGCAATCAATCAGCTTGGAAACTCCTCTTGCATTTCCTGATCAATGTATGAATATACAGCGTACAGTGACTAGCCTGACTAGCTAGAAAGCGACACTTTTTTGTTTTGGTTGTTTCTTTCTTTATTCCTTGTTTCCTTCCTTTCTGTCTCTGTCTCTGTCTCTGTCTCTTTCTCTCTATCTTTCTCTCTATCTTTCTCTCTCTAGCGTTCTCTCTCTCTCTCTCAGGTTACACGTCCTTGACTTGCTGCTATGATCAATGCAGTTTCTCCATCTGGATTGCAGACTTCCGTATCAGCACCTTAAGGCAGTGAAAATGGATTTCGACAATTGCAGCAGGTCTGCGCAAATATTTCAACTCTCAAAAGGTGCAGGCGGCCAGCGGACTTATTTCTTGAGCCAAAAGCGGGGGATTGAACGATACGGAGCGATCCAACATCAAATCACCCCTCCTAGACAACATGGGATTTTCCCATGGAGTCTCACACTGATCGCTTCGCTGTCTCAGATCGTCCAGCTTGCGTACGCTGTCCCATTGCCAACATGTGCTTTCGACACAACTCTTGGCTAACAGGTTTGGCGCACACGTCGCTAAGATTGTCGTGAGTGGATACAGCTCGTAGATCGATATCTTTGTTCTTCACTGACTTGCTGCTGCGCCCATAGGAACCTTGTCTGTATGCGTCTCGTCTTTCCGAGACCCCTCCTTGAACACATACCTCGCGCCGCTGACGAATCAGATCGTACAACGACCTGAACAGGAATGCGCCACTCATGGTACAAGGCCCTTAGTCCAAGTCCTGCGGAAGCTGCTTTGACAATCGAGTAAAGCTCGCTCTCGCCGCTTGACAATGCTATCGTCGATTGCACTGTAGATGAACTTTTCAAGCAATGTCTTCCTGCCATGCAAACCAATCCACTAACAAACAACCGGCATGGTCGCTGTCCGTAAAACAAGTGATCGTGTCATAGGCTTCTTGAGCCTTGAACTCTTGCACGACTCGTGGACAACCTTTGAGGTATCGTCCAAGTCTTTTAAGCTTGCCCCATGAATGCTCCGTTGGCGATGCCATGAAGCGAGCCAAAGTCTTGACACTCTCACAAATGTCCACACGATCCTGACTCAAGTAGGCCCATCTCATGACCACTGATCTATACAGACCACTGCGGTCTGAAGGTAGTGGCGGTAGCCCACTTGCAGCCAATGCCCCGTGTGAACTGACCTTCTCAGCCGGGGTGACCGGCTTGGCTTCTTCAAGTCCTAGCTGTCGGATCACAGTTTCAGCACGTCGTGGATCTGCCTCATATCGAATGGAACCAGCAGTGTTGTCGAACTCAAGAATACGGTTGAGCACGGTCATGGCTTTCCCGTCTCCGGCCTCTGGGCCTATGCTGCCATCAACTCGTAGCTCGAATTTCTTCCTCAGCACTTCTTCAACAAACTGCTGTCCCTTGCTGTCGGCCAAAACAACAAAGTCGTCATGGCACAACCTGGAGTCCGTGGCTTCGTGGTAGAAGATAGCCGGCCAGGCTACACCTTGAACAATGTCGCGTTCACGCAACAGCTTGCTATAGGTCTCCTGCCAAATACTGCTGGCATGGCATCCTGTGCGCGGTACATCGACTTTTGAAGTCGTGCGCACTTGCCCCCTCGCTCTCGGCCTGGAGGTAGGTTCGTGTACACGAGCCCTTGAAATGTCCAAGATCCGCAACTTTAATGCTCCTCCATGTTTGCTTGTCTTCATGGACACCATCAAGCTACACAGAACCTTCAAAGCCTCCAATGGTGGCATGGCCGAAAACAATTCAGCGTCATCTAACATTTGACCTTTCTTCTTGACCTCACGCACGACCAACCGGGAACGGAAGTTCGGGCGCTGCCAGTCACCCTTGTTCCGATTGACCCTTTTGAGCGTAATGGGTGCCTTTCCCGTTACTTGCCATGCTTCATCAATGTCGACTGGTTCATAGATTTGCTGCTTTTCAACCCAACGAAGTTCTTCTTCTCGAGCCTTCCAAACTTCTGCCTTCGGAAGTGCTACTCCGGTCACGGAGTCGAAGATCATCTCACCATCGTCCTCCTCAAAGTTCTCGGAGGAATCAAAGCTTCTGTGGGTTCGTTGCTCTCGCCATCAGGAACTGGTCCAACGCCATCTAGCTTTCTGTGACAGCATTCAATGTCAATTCTCCTCTGTCGACCAATTCTTGTCGAACTGCCGTCAATATCCCCTCCACTAATTTCGGAGGGTAGACCTGGGCAAACTTGGCCCTTCCGTTGATGAGATGAACGTGTCTACGTCCACCTTCGCAAGTTCTAACTCTGCCAACGTGCGGGAGTTTGTCACAAACTGTGTCTCCTTTCGCACGTATCCATGGCCTTTGGCGTCTTCTGATACCATTTCCCATCTGCACATCGGTCCACTTACTGTGTGGACACTTGGATCGGACTGCAATTCGATCATCTTGGGGTCTTGCCAACTCGTTGCCCACTTGGGATGTTCATGCAAAAACAATATTCCAGAATTCAGCTGTGTCGAATATATTCATCAATGGACGTATGGAGGTGTTTTCTCCCCTCCTTCTGTGCTTTCTCAAATTCCTTCTGATCTCGCTTGTACTTTGTCAAATTCTGTAGTGGTGAAAAGGGACCGCAAATAGGGGAACCAACCAGCAACAATGGTTTTGTACGCTGTAGCAACCGGAACAGCTCGTCGATATCCCTTTTGCGACTCAGGTCCCAGTACTCTCCTCCAGGACTCTTTTGGGCCGACAGGTCTACGGCGAACCCCGGGCGTGGAGGACCTGCGCAATCTCCAAGCTGCCCTCTTTGCACACGCGCGTTTCCACCAAGCTCGAAATCTCCAAAATGGATGTAGGCGTCTCCTCAGTGGTCTGTTTTCTCGAACTTGCACTTGTTGAACCTTCGACCGCAAAACCTGCTTGCTTCTCGGCGATCTCTGCCAGCTTCTCTATGGAGTCACCCTTTCGTTTCTCACCTTGGATGGCTCCTGACCTTTGTCAGAAGCCTCTGCTGGACCAAGGTTCCGCACTCTGTACTGTGGGCTCGTGCTGGAAGTCCCACTGCTATTGCAATGCATCCTGCACAACCCGAGGTTGGATTGTCTTCGACGTCTTACACAGGTCGCGGGCCACGAAGTCTTTCTTTCTGGCCCTGGACTCAATCTGCCTGTGGCCTCAGGCAATCAACGCGGACCAGTGCGTCCACATCTTCAGCACTTTGCGGCCTCATCTTCCAGGGCGTTCCCCGGAGCTGATCGAAGCCGTCAGCCTTCCAGCGATCCTCAATCGCTTTGCGCTTCACACTGCCTCCTTTGATCACACCTTAGTCGGTCATGACCAGGATATCTCCATTGCGGCCATGGGCGCCCATAGACACCTGAGTCCAGCTTGCGCGCCAAGTCGCTGCGCTCCTTCTTGTAGGCTTTCAGTGGCCGGAACCAGACTCTCTCACCGAAGGTCACCATCGGCCCTTCGCCACTTCGTGCCCTTCAACCTCTCATAGGAAGTTCGGCCATCAGCTCCAACTCTAAACCGCTCTCATGGGCCTCAATCCACAAGTTCTCCTGGAGCGCGCTCTTCATTGCGCGGCGCTGACGTTTGCTCTCTCGCGCTGACACCTCCACAGCGCCAGTCGAGGGCTTGTCGCCTGTCTTCCCTTCCTCCAGGATGACCTTCAACAGAAGAGGTTTCTTTGACCTTGGCCTTCAGAGCTTTGATGGCTGGTTCATTGTCTGATTTCAGGATGCTGCGCTTGTAGCCGCACTCGTCAAGGACCCCCAACATGAAGTCCACCGCAAACTGATCCGGACCCTCCGCCACACAGGCCCATGTCATGCCTGAGTGCTCATCTTTCACTTGTAGGCTGGGCAACTCATGCTCTCGCTCTTTGTCACTCTCGCCGTTCCAAAAGTAGTCGATCCCAATCGCTGGGAATGACCTTTGCGCTTTCTCTTCCTCAGGAATGTGCGCATGTCTCTCACGCAATCCTCGAGCGCGAGCACAATGACCACACCATGTTCTGTAGGCGACGTGGCCAGATGCTTCACGCTCGTCTTCTATCTCTTCGACTGTAGGGCTTTTGGGACTCCTCAAAACCTTTGGAGCCCGCTGTTCTTCGGCACCATCGTCCGCCCCATCAACGACGGCGTCATCTTCAGGCGGGCTTACGGCCTCGGCGCCTGCCGGGGGAAACCCGACTCAGCGCCGTCCACTGCTCCAAGATCCTCGGCGTTGGTGGTCTTAAAATCAAAGCAGTAGATCCCGCCTTGCTGATACATGGATGTCAATCTCCTGGCGTCCTTAGGATGTCTCTTGATCAGCTGCTGCAAGCTCCGTCGCATGCCATCAGCGATCGATCCATCGTTTGGGATGATCGTGCCACTTGCACCATCCAGCATCACGCAGTTCTTCTTGCCTGCCGCTGAGCCTGAAACCAGCCTACAATGAACATTCACCAGGCGTCCTGTCACCGAGCGCCCCTGGCCATCATTGTCATAGCCATTGAGCGCTGTACCGCCAGCAATTCGCCACTTGCCGTTTTGTAACACCTGGCGCTCGTCTGGGACGGCTGCAAGCCAAGCTTCTCCTTCAGCACGCTCGGAATCGCAGTCACCGCCGCACCAGTGGCAACGATGTGTGTCCAATCGTCTGCGCCGGCTTCACCGCCGCCAAATGAGTTGAGCTCACCTTTGAACTCCGGGTTGGGAGTCAGCTTCGCTCGGCTCATGTCCTTCTCGACCTTCTCGCGCCTCATGTCTATGTGGTACTTCTCGCGATCGACCTCCGAGTGAATCACGCTGCATCTTTTCCCTTTGTGGCAAGCGCTCTTGACGAACTTCTCGCATCGTCTGGCATCTTTTGGGCGGTTGAGGTAGAAGGCTTCGGTCTCCTCCTCTCGCTTGCGCTTCCGTGCTCCTCGAACGCGGTCGCGTCTTTTGTCCTTCTTGTCTTTTGTCATCTTTCTCACACGATGCGCATAGATGTTCGCGCGCTTGCGCTTCATAACGGCCAGCTCGTCTTCTTTGGTCTCCGTCTTGAACTTCTCCACCTCATCTTGCGTCAGCTTGCGGTATTTGCGCTCCGACTTTAAGAGCTTGTCTTTCTCCTCAGGCTCGATTGCGCTTGCGGTCACCGCCTTTGCCTTGCCGCTATGGATGCGCATCTTGTCGCCGCCGAGGGTATCCACGGCCTCTGTCTCGATGCCTTCTGCAACATCATCTTCATATTCTTCCTTCTGGGCCGGCCTGTTGGCATCATCGAACTCTTCATGCCAGGCCAGGTCAGCTTGTTTGAACTCTTCACGACGCTCCTTTTGTCCAGCCTTGCGGTTCAGGGCTGCCTTTCTTCTCTTCTTCTCTTGAGCCCAGGCCGCCGAGTGACTCACGCCCTTCTTGATGGCTTGGCGGTATCGGCTGCTGCGCCAGCTCTGATCAAGAATGTCCAGCTCTGGACGCTTGGATTTCGCCGTTTCTTTTGCCTTGCGGTCATCGTCCAAAACCTTCTTTCATCTTCTTCTTCTGGACCTCGAGCTCTTTGATCTCATCTTCCAACCGCTGAACTTCGGCTTCATCTTCAGCCTCCTCGATGACGCTTCATTCCTTCCGCGAATGGCCTTATCGTGATCCAACTTGTCCCTCATCGTGTCCTTCGTGAAGTTGGACATGGCCTCGAACTTCTCACGGCTCACACCCTTCATCACGCAGATGGTCTTGTCCAGGGTGGAGGGAAACTCTTCTGGCCTAGTCATCTTCAGGGCTTCAAGGTTCGCAGCCAATGTGGTCTTCTTCAGACAGGCCTCGAAGTCGGACTCGCAGAGATTGCACACGTGGTTGTCGTGGTCGTCCAAGTGTCCACAACGCATCATGAAACAACAGTTGCAACACTCTGCACAACGTCCAGTCTTAGGGACCTCTTCCTCGTCGACCACCACCTCTCGAGCCAGGTTCAAAAATCCTGTCTCGGTCTCGGCCACTTCTTCTTCTTCCGGCTCTCCATAGCCTTCTTCCTCCTCTATAGGTTGCTGACACCCTTCGAGCTTTTGCCCTTTCCTTTGCCTTTGCCTCCTTTTGGGCTTGTTGGCTTGACCTCCACCGGCCTGCCAACAGTCTTTCACCAGGTGTCCAACCTTGCCACGATCCTCAGTCTTGGGACCCTTGCCGGCCGAGCTGCTGGATGTGGTCTTTCCTTTCCCTTTCTCTCCTGTCTTCTGACCCTTGCCCTTGGAGTCTTTGCGCTTGCTCTTACCTTGTCCCTTCTTTCCTTTGCCAAAGCCGCCGTGTCCATGGGCGTCGCCTCGTCTGGATGGGCTGCAGTCCCAATCTTCAACCTGCTTCCCAACCTTGTCTCCAGGTACAGCGACACCTCGGCTCTGACCTCTTGGTACGTAGTATACCTGGACCTGTTCAGTTGAAGACGCCGTTCAATCTCTGTCGGGCATAGGTGCTCCAGGATGGAAACCTTGATCTCGTCATCGAGCGAATGCCTTGTTCCGTCGCTTCGCTTTCTCGACTCATAGATCCTCAGTTGTTCCTCCCAGACTTCATCTGTGTTGGACACGTCGTCCAGCTTCTGGCATTTCTGCGGGTTGAGGATGTGTCTCAACATTGTCCGTCGTCGACCACCTGTGCTTGGATCATACCGTCGAACCAAGCGCCTCCATGCTTCTAACCCACAGTTCTTGCCTGCTGATCGGATGATGCTAAATGCCTCACCCTCACATAGAGTTTGGAGGACCGCGAACAACTGAGTATTCATCGCCTGAATCTCATTCACGTGGGAGGGAGTTGGAGAGATTTCACCCCACGCGTCCTCGATGTCGGTCTCCGTGATGGTCTGGGCGCACTCTTCGCACCATGGAAGCACTTCATCGAATTCACCAAACACTGAAGTGATGAAAGCCTCAAGGCGTGTTCTCCAGTATAGGAACGACTCTTCTTTCCCTGTGAACTTGTGGCCTTTCGTGTCGACCAGTGACATTCGGCGTTCATCCTTGTGCTTCAAACTGTCCATGAGCTCCTTCTGACTGGTTGCCAGTGCTGTGAATGCTGCTTCAACATCAGCTGGAAGTCCACCTGCCGCTGCTGCCGCTTGCTGGGTTTGTGTCTGTCGCAATGCTTCGATCTGCGCTCTCATCTGTGTCTCTCGCTGCCGCCCTTCAGTGACCTGTTGCTGAAGCTGCTGCACGGCCTGCACGAGCTCTTGTGGCGTCATTCCTCCTGCCTGCGCCATGCTGACAGATCGCACTAGATCGTCTCAAGTGTCCTGGCTCGATCGCTTCCTGCAGGTGTTGTCCAATGTGATGGAAGAGCCGCTGCAACCTCCTCACTCTCTGGACCTTTCGGATCAAGCGCCTCCACTTGGCCAAGATCCTCCGCTCACCGCGGATGCGATTCCACCGGGACCGGCCAGCCGAAACAGCTGACACCGCCCCAATGGTGCAAATCGCAACTGCGCTCCAACCAAACGTATCGAGCACACCAAGAACCCAGGCACCTGCCTCGACCAGGCGCTACGCTACCATGCACAAATATTTCAACTCTCAAAAGGTGCAGGCGGCCAGCGGACTTGTTTCTTGAGCCAAAAGCGAGGGATCGAACGATACGGAGCGATCCAACATCGAATCAAGGTCAAAGCTGGACCATAAAAGTCAGATGTCTCATACGTCTCATGCTTCTGGGGCGTACGAAGCTCCAAGAGCAAATGAAGTGCTGCCCACCTGAAACACTTTTCAGAGCCATGTGAGTCAGTCATGTGTCTGTTGAGCAGCCATTTATTCTATTGCTTGTTGTTTTCTCTGTTCAACATCTTTTGTTCTGCTATGTCTTTTTCAGTTTTTCTTATGATAATCGTTCATGGGGGGCAATTCCACAGTAGCCAGTATTGGTTGGATAATCTTTGGGCACAAGACACAAGTAGTTCATGAAAATGTACACTAAGAATCTTCGTGGTAGCACTACTGTACCTTGCAAAAACATAAGGTTGCGTTGCACCCTCAGCATCTGCTTAGCTGCGCAGCCTCTTCGAGTTGGCTGCCACAAGCAAAGGCGGAAGACCTTGGAGAGAATGCTGCAAGTGAATACAAGAGTGACAAAGAGAGAGAGAGAGAGAGGGAGAGAGAGTGAGAGAGAGAGGGAGAGAGAGAGAGAGACAGAGAGAAACAGAGAGAGACAGAGAGAGACAGAGAGAGAGAGAGAGACACAGAGAGAAACCGAGAGACAGAGAGAGAGGGAGAAAGGGAGAGAGACACGCATACAAGAGAGAAATACAAAAATAGAAAAGGAGATGACAAAAGAAGCAAGGAACAAAAGAAAGAATTGTAAAGGAAGGACAAGGATTTGTCTAATGACAAGCACAAGACTCATTAAATTAAAATTCAAACACCTGACTTATATATAACTATATAACTATTGCAATAGTTACTGGTATTTTCGTGAATACGCCTTTTGGAGGTGTGAAGGCTAGATAAGCTGCATGTGCTTGCACTTGCCCGAATCTGCTACCAACCTGAGGCAAATGCCATGAAGTGGGCTTCTGTCCTGCAGCCAACATACATTTGCAAGCACCTATAGCATGTACTTTGTTGCAGGATGGACATTAGGGATCGGCACTCTCGGACTTGCTGACGCGTGCACGTTGAGAAAAGATACAAGTCTTATGCATGTCCTATAGAGGACGCGCTCGCTTCCTCATTAACATGTTCATCATCCATGATTGAAATGCTCATGCTCAAGACGCGATGACTCGCTCCCGTTCCCTCTTTTCCGGGACCACCATCACATTGTGTTTCGACAGCTCGTACAAACAAATGGAGCAAGCATGGGCAACGTTTAAAGAGTGCCCTTGCTGCTGTGGAACACAAACCCGTCGGTCACATTGTTGGATGATTTCTTCAGAGACACCAGCAAACTCGCTGCCAATCACCAATGCCCAATTAGAGTCTCCACGTGGTTCATGAGGAGCAACAGGCTCTGAAAACTGGTTTTCTGCTGCATAAAGACAAACACCTAAGTCTTTGAGCTCGGTTATCGCCTTGGACAAAGGTCGAGCTGCATGGAAACTCATTCTATAGAGCCACCCCATTGAGACTCTGCAAGCACGACCGTTCAAGCAACTCCAAGCGCCCGGTGACGCAATTACTGAGTTGATGCCCAGATGGTACGCACTTCGCAGAACCTGGCCAACATTGCTTGCGGAGTTCAAGCCATCCAGGACTACAAAGGGCGGTTTCATGTCACGGATTGGTGTGCTGTACGGGAACGCAACGAGGAATCTACACCCTTCAAAGCGCCGAAACAAGCGGCTGTCCATCACATCCGATGGAACCCATGGAACATCTTGTCGAAACTCTGCCATCAGGTGAGGTTCGGCGACATAGACAGTGGGTGCAACTTCTTTCGCCAGCAACATCACCTCTGCAGGAGTCCCAAGCCTTAATCAATCGGATTCACATTCCACTGCAATATGAATGAGAAAAAGGCACGATGATTTGGTGGTTTGTCAGACTCTGAGTGGATTCGACATGCAGAAATAACGGAATACCAAACCAACATCAAAGAATCATTCCAGCAAAGTGCTGATCATATTTCAAGCATCTTAGGCAAAAGCACAGAGTCCACATGAATGGCTTTTCCTCTGGAAAGAGCCTCACGAAGCTGTTGAAGGCAATCCCAGCTGTAGTGCACCTTGGTCATGGTTGGGGGTCATGGTCAGGTAAAGTGTCAAAGCTGTCTGTCCATGCTTTGTGACCACAAGGAATTCATGCCAGGACGTAATGATGCATGTATGATACGTCTGTATGCACATACTGTTCACTGAAACTTGAAAATATGTCGCTTAAAATACAATGTGTAAATATAAGGATACGTGCTGTTGGCTGTGTCGTGCTGTTGTGGAGATGCCATGCGGAATGAAAAATAAACGGCTTCTGGTAAGCTGCCATGAGATGTCTTGTGGCTTTGACAATATGTAGCACCTATACTTGATTGCTGTTCGAGGAGGTTTGCTTGGAAATGATGAGAAGGTGGCAAATGTAGGGCTTGCTGCAGATGCTGTTGCGAGTGTTGACCCGGAACCAAACACAATAAAATCCCTTGGGCGAGGGTGCGATCGCCGGCTTGTATATACATCTTGTTGAAAAGCTAAGCATCTTTTGAGCTGATCTGATATCCGACAAACGGTGTTTATTGGATTTTATGAATGACACACAAAAGCAAGAACTGTCTGAAACCCCAAGACAAAAAGCTCTGCATACTCTGAGCTGCGTCGACGATGCAGCCCAGCTGGTTCAGGGGCTTCAAGCGCTTCGGCTTTTTGGCCTCTCGCTCTTGTATATAGTCTCGCGAGAATGAGCAAGAGTGGATCTCAAACGCTGTGAACATTCGCTCAAAACTCCTATTGATATGGGTTGATTGGTTTCGTCCTAAAGCCTAAATCATCAGAGACTCGAAAAGTTGGGGACGCCAGTTGAACCTTCCATTGCATATCATGATAAGTTGCACTTTTTGCAAATCAGGATGTATAAACATATCTTCAAGAATAAATATACAGTTATACAGAACAGTATCATTATGTATGATCAAAATCGTGTTTCTACAATGTCCCTTTCTTCGGTCCTCATCCATGGAGCTCCCGGGGCCTGGCGCAGAATTGAAACATCGGACCATAGTCCTCCTTCGCCTGAAGACCATGGGTCCTCCTTTTTTAGATCTAGAGATGTAGAGAATAAAAGAGGAACACATATCTGTTGTATATCTGAAGAATACCTTTTTCTTCTCATATCCTTCTTCTGTTGTCTCATACAGAGCCATTTGTCTAAGCTTCCTGCAAGTGAAAACGAGCAATGAATGAGGAACAAGACGGAATGAGAGACGGACTCATCACATTTTGGGGTTGTAGCAAGAAGCTACTAGTAACAAGGACATCGCTACTAGTAACAAGGGCATTACTACTAGTAGCAAGAAGCTACGTATGATTCGGTACCTTTCTCATTTACAGGGGATGTCATGAGCCACACCAAAATGGTTTCGTTGAGTTGACAGGGCGGCTACGTCCATGAGGTGGGCCGGGGGGGTCCTGTTGATGACCTCTGAAATCTGCTTAATCCACCCGCAGCCAAAGCGAATCTTGAATTTCTAAATGAGGTTGGTGCAAGTCAACCGGACCCCTCCGCAGAAATGAAGTCCAGACTTGCTTGTTCGAACATTTGTAGCTACAGCAAATAAACAACGAGAACAGAAGTACATAGCTTTCCAGACCCCAATAACCCCTCGAGGTTTCAACAAAACCCACAGCCATCATGCGGGCGCAAACCAAGCTTTGACACAAACATTGTATGTCAAAAAAAATAGAAAGCATGCTCTAGCAGAAGAACAAGCTCCGCCAATACATGAGCTCAAAGCATCTTCGGCCAAAGATCTCACTTGCAAGTCATACGCTGTGCAATCTCGCTGGCTTCGAGCTTTGTAGAGCGTCAAACGTTGATCTTCTGGATCTGTAATTTCCACGATCTGAGCCATCGGAGACATTTGATGGCTTTGGCCACACAAACGCTTGGCCCAAGACGCCTTTCCAGCTTTGGTCAGGCTCAGCATGCAAACTGCTTTGCCAATGAAGGCAAAGTGTGCAAAAGGTAGCTGGGTACCCAGCTGCCTTGTCCCAGATGCTTTCAAGACAGTGAGGCTTCGCATCTTCGCACGTCTGAACTTGCGGCAATGAAAGCACTGGGGTTGTGAGAGCAAATTTACAGAGCGGTCAATGCCACTCTGATCCATGAAGGCAACGCGGCAACGTTTGTCAAATCAAATCACAACTACCAGTAGCAAATCTAGCAACAGCTTGTTTTACGCTCCCTATGGTCACTCTTGATGTATTGACAGGTCCTGGTCACCATGCAGGGTCATGACCAGGTCACAGATCTTGATGGTGAATGAAATCCTATGGCTTGGTTGCCAATTTACAGTATGGGCTGAGGGTGCTTCGCATTGTTGCATTCATTCAGTCGGGAAATTTATTCTGCTCTATCCTCTGGAGCCAAGCTGGGGACCATGTGAAGCAATAGCATGCAATGGCGCAAGCACTTCCGGAACGAATCCATGTCATGAATGCTGCGCATGAGTCCGGTCCAAGTCTGCATGTGCTTCAGCCAGAATCTTGAGGACGCCCAAGTGGTTTGCCGCTGCTGCTGCTCCGCAAGCGCTTTCATTGCTGTCACTCATGAAATTGGCTGAGGCACCTTTGTGGCAAAGAAACTGAACCAGTGATTCATCTCCAGACTTAGTTGCCTGAATCAGCACAGTCGAAGGCTTCGGATTGCCATATCCGTTTGTCTTCATTGACTCGCTCTTGTAGCTGATGGCAACATTCGGATCTGCTTCAAGTTCCACCAAGCGCTTCACCATATGCCATTTTTCCGAGGCAGCTGCAGCTGCAACTGAGCTATGTTCACCATGTATTCCAGCACGGCACCGTACTAGTAGTTCGACCACCTGATCCATGAAACAACCAACCTGTGCCAAAGTTACTAAAGTACTAAGTAGCAGCATGGCACAAAATTGACATCTATGTAATCTATGTATGTACCAGGGTCCAAGGCAATGATCACAAAAATCAGGAAGGTTAACTTTGCAATCTACTGGTAACTTCAATCGCACAAGCCTCCATGTTGCCGGCTGAAGCTGCGAGGGTCACGGCCGGCAACTTGCTTGCTGGGCAAATCCTTGCGCAAGCACTTTACTCTCAGCATCAGCAAGAAGTTGACAGCATTGGGCCCGCACATGTTCAAGTCGCAGTGGCCATTTGCAAGGATATGCAAGAAATCCATTTGGCTGGAGCCTTGGCACAAGGCAAAGGTATCCCCAACTCAACCGTGACACAGGTCAAGTGACAATGCAACATGGTCAATTTTTACCTTTGTGAAACCACCCCTTGCCTCGAACAAATGTAAGGCCTGAGATTTACGAATAGACCAAAGAATGCCAGTGCCCCTCAACATCTACTACCAATGAAGGCCCTTTTCAACCGCTTGCCTGAACACCCAGAAACAAGGATCAACTATGTTGGCAGCATGTCCAAAAGCAGTCGGCTCTCGAAGCCTGCATGAGAACAACAAACAAGTGGTGGTTGATCAATATATTTTCATGGTGGAAAACCACACAAGTTTGATCAAGTCCCCCTACGGCCTTCTTCTGCAGAATTTTCTGCGTACTAACACTCGACTCAACTGCCGTTCTTCAATAGTTCTTCTGTATTGTTTTGCACATCCTGAAACTAAAACCGATTTTGAAAAAAACACATGCTTTTGCGCGTTCCTGGCAACAACCTCCTGTGCCGCCAATGAATCTTGAACGTTAATGTAAAGTCACGATTAATAAGCCTCCCATAGCTAATCCGAACCCACAAAACCACCGGAAATTGACCAAATTGAAAGTAGTATTGGTGGTTTATTCCCCCCCTAATGGTCTAGTTGACTACCAGAAACCACCCCAGTTAGTCCGAGCCCACGACCAAGTCAATTTTTCGTACTTTTGCTACTACTATACTGCTGCTGCTGCTGCTACTGCTACTACTACTACTACTACTACTACTACTACTACACCTCCTGCTGCTGCTACGACGACTACGACGAGACGACGACGAGGACGACGACAACGACGACGGCCACCAGGGCCTATAAACTGCCTTATTAAAAAGCATGAAATAACAATCATTTGACAAGCTCACAAAGGCTACCCCTCACAAGGGCCGGTCCCCATCAATAATCTGGACTGCTACCCCCTACTACTTTGATCCTGTGTCCCTTGCCTTTTGCTTGCGTTTGTTTAAACTTATTGTGACTACTACTACCACTACTACCTCCTACCTCCTACCTCCTACCTACTACCACTACTACCACTACCACTACCACTACCTTAAGGACCGCTTGTACTTAAGCTACTTGTTCTTACTTCAAAGTAACTTGAAGTACTTGTGTCTACTTATGATCTACTTGTGAACTACTTATGTTGTATACAAAAACACAATTGAAACAAGGTGAGCCCGCGGACCCAAAAGCAAAAAGAAGCGCACAACCCAGGAAAAACAAACAAACACACTTGAGCAAAGACAATGAATCCCTTTCAGCAATGCCTTTCCCTCCAAAGCCACCAGAATGAGAAATCTCCCTTGTCTGGATAACCACCCAGCTCTTTGTTGCTCGCCATCATCGCAAGCTCTTGGCTTCATTTTGGAGCCTGGTCCTTGGTGAGACCTCCTGCTGTCACGCAAGGGGCCTCAGAGCGGAAATGTGAAAGCTTTGTGTCGAACTGGCCGGGTCGGAAGTGAACTGTATATGTGAGCTAGATTCAGGATATGAGTGGTGAAGCATGGAGTGTTGGAAAACACTTTGTATATACTTGAGACCCCACAAATTTAAAACTCAAAAGTTGCCTACAGATGTATGGATGCTTCTCCGGACGAAGCCTTCGTATACATGAGCCACGGTGAAAATCAATTATTTATGCATGAAGCGGAGCTACCTACTCGCTGAAATCAGAAGCAATGGGCGACGAGCTTGTTCACAGCTCGCTTGTCAGCGGCGGACAAAAAGCATTGTAATCTCGAGTGGGTTTGCAAAATGTGGTGTACCTATCTCTATCTTAAACTTTATCGGCCTTCTCTTTGCTGGGATGCAAAACACTAACACGTAAGTTGTCAAGAAGAAAGGCTAGACCAATGTCTTCGATAGGGAATTTAGCTGTCTCGTCAGCAGGCTCTGGGCAAGTGGCTATGAAAGCTGAAAACATATCCAAACGGTTATCGGCGAGTTATCGAGTTCGTTATCGGCGTAGTGGCCACATAGAATCCGGATTTTTCAAGAAATGGCTGCAGATTAGAAGAAGAACAACACAGCAACAAACACATTGATTCCATATCATGTAGCTGAAGCCACCCACTAGGGTACTGTCAGTGGGGCTTTCAGTCGACATGCAACAGCCACCGCAAGGATCTGTCAATAATGAGAATAAAGACCATCATAACCCACAAAAGACAGCTGCGGCGTTCGACATGTCTGCACTCTAGTCACTCTAGTCTTACACCTCGATCTGGCCTCATACCTGATGGATGTAGTGCGATAGGCTGTGCGTGCTGTGGATCTTGACCTGGCCTTTGAGGATGTAGTGCGATAGGCTGTACGTGCTTTGGATCTTGACCTGTCCTATGACCCTTCTCTTTTTCCTCTTCGGACGCTAACGACGCCCAGGACCTTCTCCTACTTGACTTGGGGTTTCCAATACATCCTCACCCTAAGCCATTCACATCGACCTCTCCTGACTAAAGTAGTCTATACTTATTTTGACCCCACCTCACATGAATTTCTTCGACGATCAACGTATCCTAAAGTCCGGTGGGTGTCCTTGTCTACATTCTTCCCACATGATCCAACGTCCGGTGGCTTGCTAGCCACAGCCACAGCCAACGCGCAAATTAGGGATATAAGATTGTGCGGCTTCCTCCCTGCCTCCCACACCGCTTTTGCATCCCGGATCTTTGTTCAAATCATAATCAAGTTTTTGTTTCAGCATCTTTCCTTTTTCCACTTGGAGACATCAGGCGTGATCAGTTTCTATTTTAAGGTGGTGCTTCGCACTTTCCGAGGGTTTTTGATTCGGCCAGTGTATAGGGCTTTGAGCACCTGCATGGTTTTGCAAGTGGACCGTTGGAGTGTGCCCCAGGACCGCCATGACTTTGGGATGGCAAAGGTAGCCTTGCATCTGCGATGTCCAACAAAGTATACCTCAAGCTTGTCCGTCGCGTCCATGAATCTGCGGCATACTGCAGCTATTTTTGAAAAGTGTTCGCGACGATCTTTGGTAGCGGACACAGCTGCTGACAAATCAAAGGAAATGTATTGCAGAGTATTTGTGCTCATGAGGCATTTGGTTCCGAATGGTAGCTTTGGGTCTTTCCAATCACCATCTACATCGGCTGCAAACTGCTGCAAGGCAACTGCGAAAGAACCCATTTCAGGAACGGCAAGACGCTGCCAGAACTGGACCACATTATTGATGACAAATTCCCCCACCAGGTGCAGCTTGGCTAGCAAGCCAAGTAACGCTGAAAAGTCCAAACCGGAGCCTTTTCCATCATCAAGCGACTCTCGAGCGATGGTCTCCACTTGAACCCATTCAGGTTCTAGATAAATTAAAGTTAACAGCCCATTGAAGACCTCCCGCTTGCTTGGTTTGAGTAAGGACAGTTCGGTGGTGATTTCTCCCAACATGTCCGGAGTTGGGCAATTTTGGGTAAAGTCTTTGACATTGTCCGCGGATAGCAAGAAATTCTCCTGAGCTAAGCACCAAGACACGATGTCTAAAGTTCGCGTTCTGCCTGCGAGAGTTGCAACACGAAGCCATCCACAAATGCCACCGGCGCTGAACAGCAATTTCCCGAGTTCTTTTTCGCATGTGCCATCTTCTACCGGATGCAGCTGCATGGCCGTCATGACTTGCATCATATTGCGCTTTTCGCTCTTAGGTTTGAAGAGCTTTGCTGCGTCTGGATGCACATGTTTGAGAACAGCAGACGGATCCAGCACGAATGTCCCCAAGGGATACTTCAAAATCCAACCAAAGACTGCCTGCGCGACAGCCTTTTCTATTTTGGTCAGGCCGTTTTCTTCTTTCCAGTGGAGCTTCACGGAGGCAACCCTTTCGCAGTTGAGCTTTGCAATATCTAGGCTTTGCCTGGCGCACATATATGCTAAAAGGACAAGAGCTTGCAGCACCTCGCTCTCCAGCCGTCTGTTGCCGGAACGGGTTCCCGTGGGATCCAACCAGTGTCGCACGGCCGACTCGCAGTAGCCCTGGGAGTACAAATCCTTCGCATACTGAAACTCCTCCGGGGAAGGCTCCCGGAAGCAAAGTGGATATGGCATGGCAGCGGGTAAGCAAGACAGGATCAAACAAACTTCACCTGAGCGCTTCACCGTTTGGAACCAGAAACTATATCGACGCAAATATTGATCCAGGATCTTTCAACCCTGTGTTGCTGTCTTGCTTTCGACTTCGCAACCTTAAGATAGGTGAGCTATTGCTTCGCCTGGGCCACATCAACATACAGCATGCTCGCCAAGTTGGCTGCGCTAAGCCGCTATGTTCCACTGAGATGTCTTTTCTTCCTTCCTCCCTTCCTCCCATCAGCTGAGTTCTCCCCGCCTTGTTGGAGGCGCGCTGGAAGAAAGTGGGTACCACCTCATTGATCACCAGGACCAACACGTCTCCAATTTCAATTGGTGGTAATTTCTTGAACGCAGCCAACAGCTAATTACTTGTCACGCCCTGTCAACATGACCCTTCAACATGCACCGGCGCCCCCTGAACTTCACACCTATTCGTGCCCGCTCAGGCTTTGCAATGGCATCCTCCCTACCTCCCACTGCCATTCGCAAGGCACATGAGTTTGTAACGCGCGCTGACATCAGGCTTGAAGCTTGCATGGCTTCCTCCCTCCCTCCCACCGCCAGTCGCAAGCCAGATGAGCCACCGACATGTGGCTGGCGTCTTCACTTCGTGCCCTAGGCTTGCAAAGGCAGCCTCCCTGCCTCCCACTGCCACTCGCAAGCCGGATAAGTCGTTTGGTCTCGCACTAACAGTTGGCATCAAAACAATCATTTCGTCCAAAGCAGTGATGTCGTTTTGACTTTACACCAGGTGTTTGGAAAAAACACTAACAAGTGGACCAAATGGAGCATCAACTGCATCGGCTGCTATGACATGAGCCAAATGGTGCGTCAACCGCATCAGTTGTGGTGCGACTTTTGCTGCTGCAAAGGAATGGGTGTAACACAGCGTGTA